TTTTTTTCTTCTAAGCTCTTTGCCGCCTCTGATAAAATACCTGATCTGCTTGGGGACGATCTAAATGCAGCTGTTTCTCTAATATCTATCTGTCTATATATTTCTCTGGTGTGTGAGAATGTGAGAGGGAAGGAATACATACAATGGTATGTCACATAGGCTTATCAGTAGTGGCACTCAGTAGGACTGAACTTGAAGCTAGGTAGAGAATTCCTTTGAGCCATTTCTATTGAAAAAGAAATTATGGGTGCATTACAGAAATAAAATCCTAAGTAAAAGGAAACCATGAAAGCAGAAGAAAATAAATGGCAATTATTCCATTTTACTGACCTTTGTTTAAAACCCCCCTGGATTAAATGATTCAAACAGACTTTGAAATACACAACTGTCACCGTGAAGGCATTTCACGGCAAAACCTGCTGCAATATGCTATGATTAAAAGCTATGCAATCCGAGGAACCTCTGTGACAAAAAGAAAATGAACTAGGCAAGAGGGTCTGATTACTTTTCTAGAAATAAAAGGCTGCATTTTGTCGTAGTTACACAAACGTAGCTAGGTAAGACTTTCATCTTTACCCAGCTTTACAATACATTTCCACCCATCAGTATTACAGCTACAATCAAAGGAATATACACGATTTAATACGGAGAACAAACTATTATTCTGTGATACTACATGTGTTTTCAACCTGAACCCATCATAACATGTAATGAGAGTTATCATTCAGCACATACTCCACACAGAGAAAAGATTCTCACACAGCTTTCCTTGTACTCTGGTTTTTAAAAAATGTACAAATATCAATAGATACAAATGAGAGAATAAGGAGCAGCGATGTACACCGTATGTTCCCACTATAGGCTGAGTCCAGGTCTTTGTTTCAATATTCCAGAGCTACTGGAAAAAAAGCTAAGTAGCTATCCATTAAAATACATTTTTACATCATTGCTGTCAAAAGTTATACTTCTGAAAGGTTCGGTCAGAACCAATGCTATCCTGACTATTTCTGCTTGAATTTGCTTCTTTAATCCAGAGCTCTTGCAATTCTAGGAACCTGCAACACATCCACCCGAAGAACAGTTCGGTCGCAGGAAAATCTGATAAACAACGTAAGAGATAGACATTGAAGAAGAACGCAAACTTATTTTCCTAGTGAAATAGTTCTGAAGCAATTCTATTCCAATGACAAAAATTTTGCTTTTTACCAGCTACGCATCTATTCAGCTCTCATCTACCTTGTCCTCGTTTAGCAGGGTTTCCGTCAATCTTGAGATCTCCTACAACAGTTTTAATGGTGCAACTCAATCCCAAAACACTAACCACGCCCTTTATGCCCAGGGTCAAGCTTCCTTTTGCTTTCCTCTCCTCAAAGTCCAAAAATGTAAATCTTTCACCTGAAAGGATTTGCACCAGTTTCCTAACCCAAGGCAGACTCATGCAGCTGTGCCTTGGTGCTAATTCCTATTGCAAGAAGCTTTCCCCGGGGCGACGTGATTAGCCCCGAAGAGAGAGACACCCACGCTTACCTCCCACACACCTGCAACCCCTGGCGGGATGCTGGAGCCGGGGCTCGGAGGCTGCGCTGGCTCGGATCTGGTCCTGCTCTGCTCTCCCAGGAAACTACCGCGCAGGCTGCGCCTCCAGCTCCTACAGAGACCCAGGCTCCGCCCCCCTCCTCCAGTTGGTGAATTGGGCAGCTGCTGCTCCGCCCCCTGCCGTTCCGGCCGCTGCCCCGGCTAGAGACAGCGCGGAGCAGCTGCCCGGTACCCCGGTGCCTGCTCTGCAGCTGCTCTCCGCTTCCCTTCCCCCGGAGCTCCTCTCCCTCCGCAGCTCACACCTGGCACCGCCTCCCGCCCCGCCCGGGCGCCCCTGCGGGGAGGCCAGGCTCGGCCAGTCACCCCCGACCCGCGGGTCTGGTTGCTGGGTGTGTCCGGGGATGAGCCGCTCTCGGGAAAACTGCGCCTCCGCCCAGGCACGTCCCCCACCGCGCTCTCCCTCCACCCCGGCGATGTCTCCGCGGCTTCCTTTGCACCGGCGCGGAGTCCCCCGCCCAGCAGCCACGCGATGCCCACCTCAGGGCCTTCGCCCCCTTCCTTCCTCTGCTCCGCCAGGCCGCCCCCATGGGGGCGGTGCCTGTGCGGCGGACCCTACTCCCTGATTGGCACAGGTGAGAGAAGGCCCCGCCCTTCCCCTCCTTTCCGTGCTTCCCCTGTGTTCTTCTCATCTCCTCCCGCAAAGGCAGGGAACTCGCCTATTATTGGCCAGAAGTGTCCCCACCCATCGCCTCAGGCGCCGCTGCACAGCCTGCCGGGAAATGTAGTCCTGAGCCTCTAGGAATTGCCCACAATGCGGGCGAGCGGAACTACGAGTCCCCACAGGCCTTTGCGCGACTCCGGCTGGGCAGGATTCCGGACAACGCCTGGTTCCTCTCAGGTCCTTCCGGCGTCGCCGGGGTGAATTGATCCGGGAGTTGAAGAGGGCTCCAAAGGTGGGAAGTGAAGTCAGTGCCTCAGCTGCCGGTAAGGTGTAGCTGTTGTGCTCCAGTCCCTGTAGCTCCGCGCGGAGTAGAAGGAGTCTGGGGTCTCCCGGGGGCTGTGGCTGAGGCACCCGAGCTTAGTCCTGGCAGGCGGAGCGGACGGGGCTGGGAGCGGGGCCCTATGGGCGTAAGCGAGTTTCCCTTACGCGAGTGGCGTAAAGCGGGTTTGTAAATGCCGCCTGCCCGGCTCGGGCCTGAGCGCCTCCAGGAAGTCTGCTGTGGGTGGAGGCCGAAGGGGAAGGGCGAGGTTGGCCTCCAGTGCCCCCCCCGGGAAAGCAGAGGGCGGATGTGCCTGGGGTGGGTCCTCTGAAGGTGTGGCCTGGGAAGGAGGTGAGGCTGCACTTTCCCCCTGCTTTAGAAGTAAGCCGGAGACGACGTGCAGGAGGAAGGGGTGCTCGGGCGTCTGCTTTGGGGGTGACTCGGGTTATGCCCTTTGAGGGAAGAGGCGAATTGGAGAAGGAAGAGTCAGGTGCTGACAGAGTTCTACGGATTCCCTTCCAGGATAATGATGAGGCCCCACCAAGGAGTTGATTTTGCTTTAAGCAGAAAGGCTGACCCTCTTAGGTGTAATACCTGAGTTATGTTTAGTCCTTTCCTGTTTTTTAGAGCACTTTGATGTTGGGGTGCTGAAGAGGGAACTGGGGGAATTATATATGACGTGCCCAAGGTCACACAGATAGAGACAAGTCTAAATCTACTCCACTTGGAGTCCAACTTCTGAACCAGGAGCTGCTGCCCAGGAGAGAAAGAGTAGGGAGGCTGGTTGTGTTCTCTGGAGAGGGTGGAGGAAGTTGCAGAGTAAAGCTGTTTGAAGTAGTATTTCTGAGAAGCCATTTGTGAGATGAACAGTTGTTTTTTTGAACTGGGATGAAATTCTTCAGTAGAGGAAGAACCTTTTCTAACCTTTTGAAAAAACAAAAGGGATTAGTTTGAACTTGAGTATTTCCCCCTTTTATTAGGTGTATATTAAATGATAGGTTTTACTCCCCTAGATCATTTTAAAGCATAGGGTAGAACATCAGTTATACAGTATCTCCCATCCTTACAGTTAAAAGAATACCCCATTTACCTTCTGCCTTAGGAGTGTTTTTATTCTCATTTCGTAAAACTAAGAACAGTGGGATTGAATTTCTTTCTCAAAACTTTACACCTTTTTTTCAAATAATGTAGCACCAAGGAGAGTTTACTGTGCTCATTACTAGAAAAGAAGATAAATTGCGTTTCTTGGAGGTAACATTTTATATTTTGTTTGGGATTTTGGTTTACTTTTTTCCTCATTTTTTTGACTCCAAGAGGCAAGAGGGTATGTGTGTTTTGGGGTACATAAATGATAAAATCAGACTGTTAAATATTTTATTATTCTTTGCATCATCTGTGACCCCTAATTCATTCTTATTTTACATTAGTGAAAAAGCTTATATTTTACATCGAGAAGAAAGTAGTGTGCTTATTCCAGTCTTATACTCTATAATTATCATGAATATCGTTATAGCTTATGAATATTGTTATTAGATAGGTTTTTAATAGAATTGTGGGAATATGTTCATTAACATCAGGTTTCTTCAGGATAAGTTTATATTCATAAAGAGTGCTTATTCTCAGCAGGTTATCAGCCATGGTTTATTGTTAATGTAAGTTGACCATCAAAATATGCTGCATTTTGAATACACTCTGCAATTGTCATCAACATGTGTTTAACTTTTGAACACAGAAGCACTTTCTAGGATCAGAAGTATTATGTTCCCCCATGATTGAAGTTAAGATGTTCTGGGAATGACTTTTAAAATACAAGAAGTCTGATGATACTTAATAAAGTAAAATCAGGAATAACATAGCCCCTTATGTAATGGAATACACAGGCAAGGAAGAACCAATAAACAAATGGAGTTCTGTAGGGATACCTGGCTTGGTGCTAGATTAGAAGGGTGTGGTGGTTGAAGTAGACCATGAACTGAACATGAGTCAGTGACGGTAAAGCAAGATGTTAATGTACTTTCTGGATGGCAGTGTAGGCATTCGTCTTTTGTTGGGGGAGGTGTGAAGTGAGTTCTAACTTTTGGCATAAAGCTGTGTGGTTATGGGAAGAGCTTCAGAGCTAAGGGAAATTTGGAAATAAGTAAAATTAACACAATGCACTTGTTCAGTGTATGTTAGGTTTTGTCCTTGGTTTAGTTCTACCATTAACTTCTCTTCAAAGCTCTTCTCAAAGTTATAGCTTTGTTATTTCACTCCTGCTAGCTAGCATGCTGAGTAAGGTGTTGTCGGTTGTATTTGGTATTTATTGTCTTCCAGTCACATGCTGGTGTACTTGGATCTTTGCACAGAGTGAACTCTTGGATTTTTATACTAGTTTGTAGCTCACCAGTAACCACATTATTCTCATTTGGGGCTTTGTAGAGCCTTGTGTTAGCTGCTGGACATCATCTCTTAAAGGACTCAAGATCTCTTCCATATACATCTATCTCTTTAAGTCTGTAAGAATAGAAGCTGTATGTTATTTATCTTTGTAGTTTCAGCAGCTAGGAAGATTGGATACCTGTTTGCAAAGAGAATGAAGGGGCTTGCCCAAAGTTATGCAACTAGTGACTAGTGGAACTAAGGTATAATCCATGTCCTCTGGCTGCAGATCTTACATTTAAGGTAGGACAATTAAGTTTGTGAAATCATCCTAGAAAAAGTGCTACATACGTCATTGCTGAATATCACTGCAGTCACCTTGGAGGTCCTTCCCTCTGGAAGCTAAGCACTGACACCAGCACTTGGTCCACCCCTCAAAGCAATTTTGAAACTCTTTTTCTGGAATGGTCATCAGAGCTGTAGTACGAAGTCTGATAGTTAAGTTTGCAAACTCATCCTAGAAAAAGTGCTATATACCTCATTGCTGAATGTCACTACTGTCACCTTGGAAATACCTGGTGACTGTAGTTATATTGCATAGTATAGACTTAGTTTCCTTAGATTATTTATGTGAGAAAAAGCCTTTTATTTTTCAATTTTAACAATAAAATATTTTACGTTTTATTTAAATATTCACCTACTGTTACTCTCTTACTCTGCTTCCCGCGGGCAGTTTACCTCCTCTCCTCCTTTCCAGCTCTCCATCCTCATCCTGAGCCTTCCCCCTTTCTTCTGCCTTGCAGTTACGACGTGTGAACCCTCCTGACTTGAGGGCCTTTTTATGTTCCATCTCCTGCCTGGCTGTGCGCTCCATCCTACTCAAATATGGACTAGTACAAGTCAGTTTTCATGTCTCAGTTTAACTGTCGTTCCTTAGGGAGCCTTGTTCTCCTTCCCCAAATCAAAGGAGATCCCTGTGTCTTCCCCTTACTCTGTCTCTCCTGCAGCCCCAGCAGCATCAGACTTAAGTAATTCAGCGTCCGTGTGACACACGTTTGTCTCCCTTGCTGGACTGTAAGCTGCTTGAGCAGGGCCCTCCCATTTGTCATGTGTCTCCCCACAGTACCTACACGGTACCTGGACCAAGTAAGTGTTCAGTTAATATTCGCTGTGTGAATGGATGAGCACATTCATGCACAGTGCCTCCAGCACTGCTGGGAACAGAAATACAGAAATGAATGGAACCCATGTGCTTCCTACTCTCATGGAGGATCGACGTTTTTAGGAACTTTCAAATGAACTAACTGTGAAGCTTAGGCAATTTAAGGACGTTATTGACAGAACTTTAATGTGAATTGTAGAAAGGTATTTGTTCTGCCTAGATCACTAAAATCAGGATTAAGTATTTTTCTATGTGGAAATGACAAAGGAGTCAATTTCATTTACAACAAAATTACTGTATAACAGCGTCTTAGAGACCTTCTTACTGTTGTGCTTTTTGAAGCAACGTTCATTATAACAAAATAGGCATGGAAGAAACTAACTTTAATGGACTCCCTTCTTCTCTGCTGTTATCACATTTTGTCCTCAAAACTGTTATTTCATTTATGTAGTATTAATGCTGGTTTACAGCTGAGGACACCAAGTAAACTTACTTTTAACTCAAAGTTTAATTAAATTGCTAGTTTTCTGGTAGTAGATGCTGGAGCCAGGATTTGGGTATCTGGATCTGTCTCCATGCTTTCTCTCTCTCTCTCTCTTTTTTTTTTTTTGTGCTTTTAACTATGAGATCTTGTGAATTTTTGCCTCTAATATTGCTTTCTTTAGATAAGGTGACTTAGTAAAATTGAGTAGTTCTTATTTCAGAAGAGCTTATGTTTTGGGCTTCTTGAAAATTTTCCTATTATTTAAGTGAGTCTTACTTGCTTTTAACTTAGGTACTTATAAGTGTAAAAAGGTCATTTGTAAAATGCACTGAATTTAAAACTAAATTTCAGGGATAAATTGTGTTAGCGTTTGGTCTTTATTTTATTTTATTTTTTTAATCACTAATCAACATCCTGCAGGATTTGGGTCTTGAAAACAAATTCTGCAATCTTCCTGCAGTATTTTGTGGTACCCCAGTAATAGCATAGGAAAATTACAACAGCCAAGAGGTGCTGGAGCCTCACTTGCTTTCACAGACACCAGTTCACTCTCCCACAAGATACTGTCAACAAGGGATTGCTAATATTGGGCTTTAAAGTTTGATAGTGCTACTGGTTTTTCTTAAATACAAGTTTGTACTGAGTCTTAAACTTGCTTTTTACAAAGCCAGTCTTGATGTTATTGGAATCGTGGATAAAATTTTCATATTTACTTGGCAAAGCAAGTGTGTGGAGGATAAAACTGAGGTATTGCTGCTTCTGTGGACTATCGCGGTCATCAGTGTTATCAGGAATTTTAAGCCAGTTCAATGATAAAGAATTTTTCTCTGTAATCGAAACTATAAAAGTGATTTAGACATTAAGAAGTATAATTGATTCTGTATATTATTGCATTTGAAATGGTAAAGTAAGTCTTGGTCTTAGAGGTTTGTACTTTAGGGATATACATACACATGAGGTGAGAAATGAAAGCACCTTTATTACAGCAGTTAGAAATTTA